GAAGCAAATGGCAACCCATTGCAGTATTCTCACCTAGAGAATCCCATGGACAGAAGACCCTGGCAGGCTACAGTCCATGGGGTCGAAAAGAGCTGGATACAACAGCAACTAACACTCTTGTTGTGGAACACAGGATCTAGAGCACGAAGGATTCAGTAGTTGTGGTCCCTCGGCTCTGGAGGACAGGCTCAATAGCTCTGGTGCATGGGCTTAGTTGCTCCACGGCATGTGGGGTCTTCCAGGACCAGGGATGGAACCCCCCATCACTAACTTCAAGTGATTAGTTCTTCCAAATGAAAAACACCTGCATACCTGGAAGTTAGTTATGCACTTGAACTCCAGGGATGAAAGAAGCTAAAAAGTTAATTTTACCAACAGCAGTCTCACAGGCATAAGGAAAAATAAATGTAAGTTTCTCTCCCTATTTAGGTAGATCTAAGTTTTTCCAATGTGTTCAAGATTTATTCTCTAAAAATGAACCTACTAGCACCTGCTAAACTACCCACTCTTTCCTTAGCGGGGCACCAGCTCATGTGGGGCACTGAGGAGTCGTCAAAGGAGTATTTCCATGAGCACTGACACAGAATGCACAATCACACTTCTGTCTGATGGAGTCGCAGCCTCTTGAATAGCAGCCAAGGGGGCAGGGGGGAGGATGTGAAGGAACAGGAGAGAAAAATCCCAGTCGGTACTCAGTTCCAATCAAGTTCTCAAAATTCCCTTTCTGCTGAGGATGCCACACTTTTCTCAGAACTATATTTATTTTTCTTTAACAGCCTTTTGATTTAAAGAATAGTGGTCTCCTCATGGAATCACAAATGTGGGAAAATACAATGAAGACTGAAATGAAGGCAAATCCAAATAAGAGGAAGAAATTTTATATCCATCACCTGTAAGGCCAACGTGTTCAAAATCTCCTTTCTAATTTTTGGACAAAGTACTTTTCTTTTGCTCATCCTCAGGCTCAAATTCTTGAGGTCATCTTAAGAGTCCTCTCTTACCTCCAAGCCCTGTAACTAGTTAGGCCTCAAATTCCATAAATTCTTCCTTCAACATCTCTTATTCATTTATTCATCTCTTATACTACCTACTTATGCTAGTCTCCAGGGGACTCTACAGTAGGGTATGATATGGAGACGTTTACAGAAGTAGCTACTAAAGTCAGGTAAAAAGTATGAGTGGTTGAGAAATAAGTTCCACAAAGATTCTAGTGTGAGATGATGTCTGCCTAGAGGATAAGGAGACACTTGGGGGCAGGCACTGAGCACTCAAACTGGGCCTTTAATCCCAGGTCTAAGACAAGTGCTCGGGCCTGGAGCACTGGGAAGACCCAGAGGGATCGGGTGGAGAGGGAGGTGGGAGGGGGGACCGGGATGGGGAATACATGTAAATCCATGGCTAATTCATTTCAGTGTATGACAAAAACCACTGCAATGATGTAAAGTAATTAGCCTCCAACTAATAAAAATAAATGAAAAAAAAAAAATCCCAGGTCTTACTTGAATTAGATGGAGCTAGTGGAGGGATCTGGGAAGAAAAGCACTCGGGGGAACAGCAAATCAAGGTGGCTGCCTGGAACTAAAGATCCAGGAGGGGAGTGGCAGCCACAGAATGCCTGGCTGAGAAGTCTTTAACCCTTAGGCTGCCAAGTCATTTCTCTTCCATCATTTGTACCCTCTGCATCTGACACCCACTTTCATCAGGAACTCAAATGCAAAACAAAGTTGGTGGTAACTACCTTTGTGATCACAGGGTGTTCCTTCTGCAGTTACAATTTGTAGGAGGCGCTGCTGCTATGAGTGGCTGAAGAGAAAGTTGGTCCCCTTCATCAATCACAAAGCTTTACTTAGGCTGGAGGATTAGAAAGCATATCTTATTCTGGGGATGCTTCAAAACTCTGTCACCCTTCAACAACTCTAACTAAAGCTGTGATATAAGAATACCAACTTAATCCTTCTCAAATTCACCTTCACTATATGACTCCCTTGCTCAAGGATCTACACTGACTCCAATTATGTAGAATAGGTCATTCAAATCCCTCTGCTTAGAATCCAAGGTTAGGCATCATTCAACCCCACCGAACCTTTTCAACCTTATCTATTATTACTCCTCTGTTAGTTATCTGTTATTACTAACCTCCTTTCCTAATCAGGAGGGTTAAATTACAACAGGGCTAGTATTACAGACCTAGCTAAGCTGAGTTAAATTTAAACTAGACAATAGTTTAGGCCACTTTTTTTTCAGGCATAAAAAATACAAATTTTACAAAAATATTTTAAGAACTTGGCAGTCCTTATTCATGCTGGCTTTGCAATTGTGTTCTGAATTTGAAAACCCTAAATTACTTTGTTCCTAATATATAAATGGGAAAGGAAAGAGTTACAAATAACACTTTTTATAGTAATGTTCTTTATCTTGGCAGCTGGTAGGTGTATGCATTTTTCAAAATCAATCAATGTATACTTGAGAGTTGTACACATCACTGAACACAAACTTTATACCAAAATAAACTAAACAAACCCTAGTTAATGACATGCATACCAAAGCAGTTAAAGGAAGGTGTACTCATAGCTGCAATTTAAATGATGGACAGATACATGATAAAGCAAATTATATTAAAATGTTAATGGTAAAATCTAGGTAGTGGGTGTGTGTCTTTGAAAAAATTATTAAGACTTTACTGGATGTTTGAAGTTTTTAATAATGAAACATTGGGGAAAATGACAGTGACAACAGTGCAGTTGTTAATTATAAGCACTGACAACGCACTACAGTGCACAGAGCTGTAAGTTTAGCTTTAGTGGAATGACTGCATCCGGCAATTCATTTACTCCTTAATGTTTCCACGTCACCCTGCAAATACCTCTTGCAGTCCTTTTCACACTGTTTGCATGATCGCCTCTCCCACTACATTGTAAGTCCCTGGCAAGCACAGATTTAGTGTAATTTGTTTTTATATATAACTTTGCATCATGTTTGAAAAAAGTGTTAGATAATTGTGGAAGCACTGAATGAAAGTGGGATATGCTAAGGATCAATGGTTTATGCTTCTGACAAATTAACTTTATTCATTTTTTACACATCCTGAAAGTGCTTATGTTCAGTTTTCAAGAGAAATGTATCCTTTACTTCTCCCTAAAACATGCAGAATTTCCAAAAATAAAAGTCATCTGTACTGACAAGATTACTTTGTATTCTATTACTTAAATGTCAGGTCTGAAGGCCTTCTAACACTCAGTAACTACTGAGGTTTTTTTTCTTTTCCTAAAAGAGTGAAGTCTCAGAATTCCAAGGAAATCTTTAATTTGTTTTATTCAAATCTTAGATAAGCTGCTAGAACTAAGAGATTCCTAAACTGATCAAAAGCGGGAAACAGGAGATCTGGGGAAAAGATAAAAACAAGCACCACTTGCACCACATTGAAAAGTCACAAAGCAAATTAATCAAGAACTTTAACAAGAAACGGAGGGTAAGCCTTAAGAAGGATACGCAGAACATCTCAAATTCCCCCTAGACAGGTTACTCTCCTCCTCTCTGCAACTACAGCCAGTCAGAGATCCAGCCGCCCGGCCACTCCCAACATGCCACGCGACTCGGGCTGATGCCGCTGAAGATGCTTCTTACGTCAACTTCATAGAAACAACATGCTTTCGCGGCATGAGCCCCTGGTTCTAAACTGGAGGACCTGGGTCCGAGTCCCAGCTCCTCCACCGGCCTCATCTGAAAGTCTCATGCCCTCGCTGGGCAGCAGTTTCCTCATCTCTGAAACCGTAATGAGTCTCCTAACCCCGGCCAGCGCACACAGTGACAATAAACCGAGACGAGGGGCGTAAGGGCGTTTTAAGGAAGACTGCAAGCGACTCGCAATTTGTTATGGCTCTCAAGCATGCGGTGCTCACAACCAGCCCCGGACCAATCTCTCAAAGTCACCGCTGTCCCTTACTCCCTTCCCGCCAGGCGCCTCTGCTGAGGCCGCTCCCTTCTGGATGTCCCAAAGAGGAAGCCGTCCGGCGCCGTCTGCCGTACCTGCAGCCACTTGGTCAGCGGGGCCCTCCTGCTGACCCATGACGAAGTCTTGCACGAGGCCCCACAGGGCGCCCAGAGGCGCCACCGCCTCCAGAGCCGCGGCGGCGGCCATGACGCGAACTGGAGCCCGTGGGAGGGGAAGTGGGCGGTGGCACGGGCCGGGGCTCTCAGCGCACGCGCCTCCCCGAGCCAATCGCCTGGCCAAGGTTGAGGGGCGGGGCGCTCCCTGGATCACGTGTCTGCCGGCTCCAGGCCAGGCAGTTCCCGAGAGGGATGGGGACGGTCCCTCCCCAAGGGGCGGGGCCTGCAGTCGGGGCGGTGGCTCAGGGAAGGGAAGGCTGCTGCAGGGCACGCAGCCGGGGGCCATTGAGGGCGAATAATTCCCGGCCCAGCTCCCCGGGAGACGGGCGGCGGGGCGGGCACCTGGCTGGGTGGGGCCGAGGGGGCGGTCCGCACCCTGGGGGAAACCAATGAGAAAACCAGGCCCGGCCCGAGGGGGCGGTGCCGTCGGTCACATGCGCACCTGGGGCGGGCGGTGGCGGCGGCGCGGGCACCGCGAGCCGGCAGCAGGCAGCGGGGCTGGGCTGGGGCGGGGTTACGCAGGTGAGTGACAGGCTGCGGGGGGCCGGCCCCAGCTGGGAGCCCCGAGCTAGCCGGGAGTAGCTGCGGCGGTGCCCGCCCCCTCTCTCCGCCCCTCCAGCGGAGCTGGTCTTCGGCAGGGCACCGTCGTGGGCCCCCCTGGCCCGGCCACCTGGGACTGTGCTGGGGAGTCGGCCACCTCCCTCTCTCCCCTCGCCCGCAAAGTTTGTGGCGAAGCCGGTGCCGGGGTAGAGCGCGCCCCGGGGGAGATTGGTGAGCTCCCGATGCCTGGCAGCAGGAGCCGTTGACCCGGGACGCCGCCGTCCGGGGCAGGAGCGCGGAGCAGCCGATCAGCCCGCCGCCTCCGGTGCATGGGGCCCGGCTGAAGAGCCAGCATGGGCAACTGCGTGGGGAGACAGCGCCGGGAGAGGCCGACCGCCCCAGGACACCCCCGCAAGCGAGCAGGTAAGACGGGGAAGGGAGCAGGGTCGTCAGCGCCCGGCTAGTTTTCCTCCTTGTTGCGGGAGACCTGAGCTTCCCGAGCGACCTCCCGCAGCTCCTGGCACCTGGGTTTCCCCGATGGCTACTCCCGAGCCAGGCGGGACCCCCCCCCCTCCCCTTCCCAGCCCCCGTGGCCGGGGAAGCCGAGTTGGGGCAACCGCGAGCCCTGACCCGGCTGCGAGCCCAACTCGCTCCAACTGGGAAGCTCCGAGTGGGGGTGGGGGCAGGGGCAGGAAATGTTTGCAGACCGCTGAGGGGCCGACGGAGGGAAGGAGGGCCCCGGGCTGGGGCGCAGCTGGCCTGGACGCGGGGCCGGGGTCGGAAGCCCGCACGTCGGGGCACGGCGCGGGCGGCCAGGCGTCCTCAGAACTCTGAGCGAACGAGAGGAGCACAGTCGCTCCTTCTGAAGACTGTGTCATTATCAGGCTGCAGATCATGTCTGCTGGAATCCGACTTGCAAAAGCAGCGCAGGACTCTGGGAAAGAAATCTTTATTTTTCCCGCAGGGCTTTTTAGAGCCTCAGGGCCGTCTGGGAATCTAGGAAAGGTGGGGTGCGGGGTGGGAATCGCGCTCGGGTTGTTGGGATCCTTCCCAGCCTTGGGGATGGGATCTGCTCGCTGGTGATCCGCGAGGGCCGGCAGCGCCTTCTCCCTTTCTGGGTACACTCCTCCTATCCTGGCGCTCCGCCTGGGTAAGAGGTCTGGCGGTCGTTTCCCCGGGTCTTGTACTCACTTTACTTCCTTCTTAGAGAGTGTTGCAAGGACCTTCTGAGAATGATAAAATCGCAGACTTTAATGCTCAAGGAGACCTTCGAAACTAGTCTAGAGTCCAGGTAGACCTACCTTCTCTTGTCTATTAAAAGCCCAGATCCAGAGAAGTTGAGCAACTTGTCCTCAGCTACACAGCTAGTTAGTAGTGCAGCTGGGATTAGAACGCTGTCTCCTGCTCAGTTGCCACATATCCCTTTATGTAAGAGGAGCCACAGGCAGTTATTAATGAAGTAGAAACTCTAGTTGGTGTTTCCTGTCTCCTTTGACACCACAGGTTTGTGTTGCTTGAGTTTCGGAAACTGGGAATGAAAATAAGGGGAAACACGGGGAAAGGAGGGAAGGATGTCTGTGTGTTGGACAGGATGACTTGTGCAAGAAGCAACATGTTTTTTTATAGGGAGGACGACATAAAATTTAGCATTGAAATCCACTTGTCTGAGGGCAACACAAGCCATTCTTCTGATGTGGAAAGAGGGTTCTCAAATCCAAGGGCTTTCTTTCATTCATTTATTCAACAAATACTTATTATTTATGTGCTCAGTGTATGTAATTGATTAGTAGGGTGTTTTTTTTGTTTTTGTTTTTACTGTTGACAACCCTCTCCCCTTTGAAACTACCCTCCCAGCAAAAACTTTTCCTTCCTTGGCATTTTGGTTTTTCTCTGATTACTCAGGCCCACCATCACCTCCTAGTGTGGGACACCATGGTTCTGTTTTTTTTTTTTAATTTATGTATTTATTTATTTTGGGCTGTGCTGGGTTTTCCTGGTTACAGGGAGCAGGGGGCTACTCTTTTGTGATGTGAGGGCTTCCCATTGCAGGGGATTCTCTTGTTGCAGAGCACAGGCTCTAGGGCTCAGGAGCTTCAGTGTTGCAGCTCACGGGCTCTAGAGTCCTGGCTCTGTAATTGTGGTGCACCAGCTTAGTTGCTTTGAGGTATGTGGAATCTTCCCAAACCAGGGATGGAACCCATGTACCCTGCATTGGCAGGCAGATTCTTATCAACTGCACCACCTGGGAAATCCCCATGGTTCAGTTTTACATTTTCTTTTTTTTTTTTCCTCTCATCTCCCTCCCAAGGAAATAGACCCACAACTCTTTGTCCATTGGAAAGACACCTACACTCTATCTTCAGCTATTGCCTCTCCAACCCCAGATTCATGTACTGGACACTGATGTAATTAACTTCAGAGTCAATGCTTCTAAACCAGCTCTGCGTCTCCCCGCCTTCAGCTAGCTTCCCTATGCTCTTCCATTCTTCCAGCTGTCTAAATTTATACTTTGAGGAACCCTCTCTGCTAACTTTCTTTGCCTCCATGACCTGGAGGAGTCATTCTCTGGGACCTGCTAGTTCTTCATTCAGCAGGTCTTACAGACCTGCTCCTTGTAACCTCAAGGCCAGCTCATCTCCCAGGCTGAAGTTAGTTTCCCAACAGAGACAAGTACATCTTCAGTCATTCATCCAATGCCTACATGCACTGGTATCCCAGAAGACATCTGTTAAATTCACCTATTCCAAACCCTGTAGTTCTATGTTCAGAAATCTTTCTGCGCCTCCCACTCCTGTAAGAACTTTAACTTCCAAGGCTGTTCAGGTCTGGTCCAGTCCTTCCTTTTATGACACAATTTCTTTCTCTTCCTTGACATTAAGGTCACCTGTGTTTACTCATGCCCTTTCCCCTTTCTTATCAAGAGCCTTTCTTCTCTTCAAGGTCCACCTCCAATCCCTTATCTTTCTAGAAGCACCTTGCCTGACAAATCCCCCAGCCCCCGCTGCAGACAGAATTGCTGTTTCTGAGTCGCATTATGCCACTTACTTAACCGTGATCCACTCCATGTTATTAGACGGTTCTTTGATGTTACAGTCTTCTGTCAGCAACCGCACTGCCAGCCTTGAAGACCTTGTATGTGTGTATGCTTGCCTCTCTTACTGATACTGTCACACACACACACACACACACACACACACTAGGCACTTAGCACAGTGACTTGTACCAAGGAAGCACTCAATTTTTGTTGATTTTAAAAAGCTTACACGGGAATTCCCTGGTGATCCAGTGGTTAGGATTCAGCACGTTCACTACTGTGACCCAGGTTCAGTCCCTGGGAACTAAGATCCCATGAGCCTCACAGCACAGCCCCCCAAAATTAGATATAGATAAATATAAATAAACAAATAAAAATTTCACCTTAACATTTTACTGGGGTATATATCTGCATTAAAAAAGAAAATCTGCTAGTGTGTCTTTATTTCACTTTTGTGGGTCCTGCTGTGAACAGCTTTATTCATGAAGTCCAAAGCCAAGCAGAACCCTGGAGGATGACAAACTTGGTACAAGCGAAGGAACCGTTCTTAACTTCACAGCGTGTACCTGGTGTTCCTATGACACCTGTAGTTTCCCTGTTGACTAGGACATAATTTTATAAGACTAATGCCTAAAACTCCCACTGTAACTCTTACCCCTCCTTTGTCACTGAAGAAGCCCTCCATAGAGGGCTAAAACCCTACTTCTGGTCCTGGGCCTGCAGCTGGGTAACCCTGGGCGAGTCATCAACCATCTTAGGGTCGCACTTGCATTATTTCAGAAAGGAGGGGACTATATCAGATCATTAGAGCTGTTTTTATCATCTCCACAAAGGTAGCGATTCTAAACTGGGAAGTTAATGAGCTGAAATCTTACGCCTGGTTATGTCACTCATTGGCCGTAGTTCTGTCTTCCTGGTCACTTGGTGGGTGAAGCAGAGACACGATGCCCACTGGTCAGGGAGTCTTGCTTTAGCTCGAAGGATTAGGCAGTACTCTCATCTCATCAAGATTTGTGGTTGTCACTTTTTTTTTTTCACCTGTTACTTGTAATAGGTTCCCAGTAGGTCTGTGTTCTCGCCTTCAGGTGCGGAGTGGTCTTTTCAAACTTGGGAGAATACATGAAGGAGGGGAGTGACTCCTCTGGGGGGCTCTCACCAACCTGTGCTTGTACCCTGGATAGATGCAGCCTCTCTGCCCGTGAGTGGGTGAGGCAGCCCCTCCCCTGCCCATCCCGGGGAGAAGTAGATGTGGTAGGACAGGCAGGTCTCTCGCCCAGCTCCACCCTTTGAGAATGTGGCAAGGCTGAAACCCAGATATCTGTGATGTGCCAAGCATATCCACTTACATTCTGGAATCTCAAGCTCGGGGTGAACAGACCCAAGGCCCTGTTTTGGGCTGGCTGGGCTTGGCGCTGTGGTTGCAAGAGAGTGTACTTCTCGCTGTGTGGGCTGCTGTGACTATTCTTAAGGGAGTAATTGGGCAACTTCTCCATTTGGTCAGTAAATATTTACCGAGTGCCAGGTACCTTGCTGGGTGGGAACTGACATGGTCCTTGGCCTCATGGAGCTTATAGTCTGGGGTGGGGGTGGGGGGCAGACAGTAAACAATCTCACCATACATGGAAACGCTGTATGATAATACATACAATTATGTATTATTATATATGCTGGTGACTCCCACATATATCATTTCAACCCATTTGGTCCAACTCCAACCATGTATATTCTGCTGCCTACTCAACACATCTAATGTCTAAAAGTCTTCTCAAGTTTAATGTGTCCAAAACAGAATGAACCCTCCTACCCTCACTGCCGCCAGCCCCCCCCCACCCCCCGACTGCCTACATTCTCCCAATCTTTACCATCTCAGCTGATGGTGATTTCATCCTTTCAATTGCTCAGGTCCCCCAAAATTCTATCATCATCCCTGGCTCCTCCCTTTCTCTCAATCCCACATCCATTTAATCAATAAATCCTGTTGACTTTGCCTTAAATATATCCAGCACTTGACTCTCAACATCATTACTACTTTCATCCTGGTCTAAGCTACCCATCGGCATTTTAACTGACCTTCCTGCTTCCTCCCTTGTCTCCCGACAGACTATTTTCATCACAGCAGCCAGAGAGATGCTGCAAACTGTAAGTCAGATTCTGTTACTGCTTTGTTACCCATCTCATTCTGAGTCCTTGTGTTGGCCTACAAGGCATGAGAGGATGGTCACCACCTTGCCTTTCCTGAGCCTTCTCTGGCTCTTCATTCCTGTGCCACCCTCTGATAGCTAAATGGGTTTCCTCCTCTCCTCCTCCAAGACTCGCCACTTCTCATCAGTCACGCCCTCCCAGGCCATCCTTTTTAAAATTGATCCCCTTCCCTCCACTGCCTGCTGTC